GCGTCGGAGGAGGAAGAAGAGCCCAGATACCTCGCAGAAGAAAGATCGCCATACGTATAAACTTTCGGCGCTCCGCGGAGATCTCTTGGATCCGCGCTGGGCCCCCCCGGCGGCGCCTCGGGCGCCGCCCCTGGCGCGCTCCGCGCGCCAGGGAGGGGGGTCCGGCGCAATTTCAGAAATCCGCGCCTAGCACCAACGAAAATTTGTTCATGGCCGTTTTCTCTTCTTCTAAGACCGCTGCCGTTGCCTCGTTTCCCACTTTTCAGGCTTCCTGAGAGGCCCTCGCACCGCTGGATTCGCGTGGGAATTCTGGTCAGGCCGCACCCCCGGAGAGGTCCGTGGAGCAGCGGTATCGGTGCCTTTTGGCTCCTGCAGCCTCAGTGGGCGCTGGAGGTTCGGCACGAACGAGCCGTGTACAGAAAGGTTGGGGACGAAGATTGGCAGCAGTTCCTGCCGATGTCGAACAGGACTCGCTGTCGGTGCCGTCGCGGGCGTTGTCCATTTGGGGCAGAAAGCCGCCTACCCAACAGCGGCCGCTGTCGGTTTGGGACAACATCTGCGGTTGGGCGTCATGGATATTTCCGTATTGATTTCGGGCGTCCAGAGAGGTTTGCGGCCGCAGTCCAGGCCTGACGTCAGATCCGCCGTATTTTGTCTGGCGTTCCGACTTAGACAGTGTGCTGGAGATGCTCTTTCAACGATGCGAGAAAGCAGGCCGGAGATCTCCGCCTCAGAACAGTAGGGCGGATAGCTGCGCAAAGGTGCGGCGGTAACAGCGACGGCAAATTGGGGCGGAAATCGGCATCAAAGGAGCTTGACAAGTCGGGCGGGAATCCCCTCCTTACCTGCGCAATCGCCCACAGCCCGGCGGATCCGAAGTCATGGATGCCTCCTCAATGGGGTCCGAGAAGGCGGGGTCGGAGGATCGCGCCGCATCGCCGATGCATTGGCGCTGCGGCTCGATGTGGAGCCCGAGTTTCTCCACGCCGACGGCGCCAGCGGCCGCAGGAGGTCCGCGGCCCCTGGGGCCGGAGAGTCCACAGTCGTGGCGAGCAAGGGCGAGGATCGAGGCGTTCCAGAGAGGGCCTCGCCTGTGAGGATCAGAGGGGCTGCCATCTCTTCCTCGGCGGAAGGCCGGCGGAAGGCGGCGGAAGTAGAATTTCGGGAGCCTTGAGACGGGGGTCAATGCAAACGGGGGCCAGCCAGAGCGCCAGCTCCTGCAGGATCCTGCGAAGACCCCTCTGGCTGACCCAGGTTAGGGAGCCGTTCGTGGCCGCGAGGCGGCCGCTCGTATTGGCTGACCCGGGTGTTCGAAGACCTGCGCTGCAGTTTGTTTTTCCTGCATTTCAGGTTTTGGTTTCCTGCTCACCCGGGTCTGGATTGACCCGGGTCAGAAGATCCCCGATAAAACGGGCGCAGGCCGAAGCCGGCAGAAGGCGGGCGGAAGCTGGCAGACGTAAGAGGAACGCGCCCCAAGAGATGGCAACCGTTTGGGGTTCAGTGTTCCTGGAACCGGCCAGATGTCAGAGGGATGATACCGGTACCTTTGTTCGTCCTGGAGAGCCCTCGTCGCCACCGGAGAGGTTTGGGGTCCCCCTGGCGGCGGCTCCGGCGCCGCCGCGCCAATCCAAGAAATCCTCGCGGACCTCTGAAATTTTACGGTTTTTGCTCCAGGAGAGTCCACGGATGTGTGCCAGGCGAGGGCGATGGCTGATAGAGTGCGGATGGGTCTGGTGGCACGGGCACATGTTGCATGGGAATTGCTGAGTTTGAGCTTGGTCTTGCACAGATGAATGAGGGAAAAGAGCAGGCAGGAGGGAGAACGGAGGGGGAGGGAGGAGGGCGGAAGGAGGAGGGAGGTGACCGAAGAACGAGGAAGGAGGGGGGAGGATGGAACAGTTGTAGGGCGAGAAGGATGAAGACGGGAGATGGAGGGTGGAGGAGGAGGAGGATGGAGACGAACGGACGGAGGAGAATGGAGGATCATGAACGAGAATAGTGGAGACGTGTGGAAGGGGGAAGATGGAGAATGGAGGGTTCAGGAGGAGGAGAGTGAGGAGGGAGGCGTGGGAGGAACGGGGGATGAGGGTCTGTGGGGGGCGGAGGATCTGAGCGGAAGGCGCGGGAGGGACGGAGGATTGGATGACGCAGCCCGCACAGGAGCTGTCCGAGGGCGGCATATCCGAGGAGCTCTTGGCGTCTCTTGGCCCCTCGTCGCCGCTCATCATCCGACGATGACGACGCCGACGCCAGTCCTCGTCAATCTGCTGCTCCCCGGCCGTCTGCCGCCGTGCGTCGTCGTCGATGTCGTCGTCTTCCTCGGCCGTCGTCGTGGGTCGTCGATGGTTCGTTAGTCGTTCTCCTCGTCCGTCGTGGTCTGTCGTCGTCGGCGTCGTCCACCTCCTCGTCGACGTCGTTGTCCCCTTCTTCTCCTCCTCCTCCTCCTCCTCCTCCTCCTCCTCCTTCTACTACTACTCCTCCTCATCATCCTTCTCCCTCCTCCTCGTCCTCCTCCTACTCCTCCTCTTCCTACTCCTCCTCCTCCTCATCCTCCTTCTCATCCTCCTCCCCATCCTCCTCCTCCTCCTCATCAGTATCAGCATCAGCATCAGCAGCAGCAGCAGCAGCAGCATATCATCATCAGCATAATCATCATAAGCAGCAGCAGCATTACCGTCATCGTCATCATCAGCATCATGATCATTATCATCATCATCAGCAGCATCAGCATTACAATCCTTGGCCGTCGGTCGTCGTCCTGGGTCGTCGTCCTCGTCGTCCTCCTTCGCCGCCAGTCGGTCGTGCGTCAATGTGAACGTCGTCGTCGTCGTCGTGGACGTGTCAACGTCAACGTCAACGTCAACCTCTGTCGGTGGGGGCTTTGGCGCCTCTGGGTTCAGTAGGCGGGAGCCCGACCAGGCCCCCCGCTCCGCGGCAGACCGTGGCGTCATCTGCCCTGCCCGATCCCACTCGACCCTCTCTGCCCCGTCCGCACCGCCTCCCCGCATCCTCCCCTCCTCTTCCCCCCGCCTTCCTACTCCACTGCCTGCTCATCGACTCCTCCGCCCTCGCTCCCGCCCACGCTGAGCCTCCCGATCCCTCCTCTCCCCGGTGGTGCTTGCCTCGCTCCCCGTCCTCCCTCCGCCCCCGGGCCATCCCCCCAATCCTTACGTACTGCCGCGTGTAGGAGTTCCTGCGGCACCACTGCGGCGCGGAGGACCTCGCGGACGTGGAGTGCCTGGAGCTGCAGGCGCGGGGCCAGCCTGGCCGGCCGGCCGGGCCGGCGGCCGTCGCAGGGGCTCAGAGGAGAAGAGGGTACCGATGCCGTTGCCCGTTCTGGAGAGCTCTCGTCGCCACGGCTGGGTCCTCCATTTCAAATTCTGCTCAGAATGCACCGCGGGAGAGGTCTGGGGGAGTAGCTTCCCCCATGGACTCCGTCGTTGCCGCCGTCGTTGTCGTAGTCGTCCTTCTACCCTGTCGGAAAGAGCACGCCCAGACCCTAGGGTGGGGATGGAGGAGGGGGGGATGGGGGGCAGGCCGAGGGAGTACGTGGGAGGCGTGGGGCGGGGGGGGCAACATCTCCGCAGCCACGGGTCCGATACGCTTCGAGGGCAAATTCGTATCAGTCGCCATGTGGTGCTCTCTTTCCTCTCGGCTGTGCGACCGCATTGGCGGTCGCCCGTGCCGCTGACGAACAACATACCGTTCCTATCGTCTTCCTGACCCCCCCTCCTTCCCCCGCCTTCTCATCGGCATATTGGTGTCGCTTCGTTGCTCCATCTGCCCCGTCTGGGCCGCGACCGCTCAGAATGCCACTGTATTATACAGTTTGAGCGCGCTTCATTTCAACCATCTTGTGATGAGCTGGGCCCTCGTTTTGAATACACATCGCCCCGTGTCCTCGCCTCCTTCCTCCCTGCCCTCATCCCGCCTCCTCCCTTCTCCCTTCTCCCCCTCCTCCCATCCCTCTTTCTCCTCCACCTCCTCCTGCTCCTCCTCCGCCCACCTCCTCCCTCCTCCGCCACCCTCCTAACATCCCTCCTCCCCCTCCCTGCCTCTGCCTTCCGCATGTCCACGTCTGCACACCCCATCACACGCTGCGTGGCCCCTTCAGGAGCTCCACCAGAAGGCCCCAGTGGCTGCGTTCGCACATACCCTCTCTGCACGATTTTGTCGCGCCCCTCACACGTGTCGTGGCCCCCTAGGGAGCTCCACGGACGGCCCCAGCGGCTGCGTTCGCCCACCATGTCGGCGCACCCCTCACACGCCTCGTGGCCCCATGGGGGGTGCTCCACCGAAGGCCCCAGTTGCAGGAATCACATGTGTGACCGCGCTCCTTTCCGCGCACCCCTCACACGCTTCGTAGCCTCATCGGGAGCTCCACCGAAGGCCTCAGTGGCTGCGCTTGCACACCTTCTGCACATGTTCGGCACACCCCTCCCACGTTTCGTGGCCCCATAGGGAGTTCCACCGAAGACCCCAGTGGTTGCGTTCACATGTTTTCGCTACACCATTTCGGGGCACCCCTCACACGCTCCGTGGCCCTATGGGGAGGAGCTCCACCAAAGGCCACAGCGGTTGCATTCGCATGCTTTCGCCGCATCATGTCGGCGCACCCCTCACACGCTTCATGGCCACGTGGGGGGGTCCATCGAAGGCCCCAGTTGCAGGAATCGCAGGCGTGATTGCGCCCCTTCCCGCACACCCCCTCACACGATTCGTGGTCCCACAGGGAGAGCTACCGAAGGCTTTAGCAGCATGAGTCGCATACGTGACCACGCCCATGTTGGCGAACCCTTCACACCTTCGTGGCCCCATAGGGAGTTCCACCGAAGACCGCGCCGTCAGACGCGCTGATCATCCTTAACAGTTTACATTCATATGTAACCCTTTATGGCTGACCTCCGCGACCCCATCAGCATCGTCGTTCGGCCCTTCCCACGCACGCCGTAGTCCTTTGCCAGGCCCTTTAGTTTCCACGTGTCTTGCGATATTCACACCTGCAGACGGCTAAATCCCTCGCCTGGATATTCTTTTCCGCGCGCAAAGTAGTTCACGGAACTAGATGATACGATTATGGGAGATTTGCGTATCGTCTTTCTCCATTATTTCTCCTCTCGTCCTTCTTCTTTCTGTGTCACCCCTCGGTGTCCAAATTCGGCGCCTGAATTTCCGGCACGCTCTCCGGACAGACGCGTGTACTTACAGTTGGAGGTTTCGTCGTGGTGCTTGCTCCACACCCCTCAAGCAAGATTGAGACGCCCATTGAAAGCGAAGTATCGGCAGGTCGGAGCCGCCTCATGTCTTCAGTGAGGACGTTCCTCTTCAGTGCTGGTTGTCTGATTAATGACTGTCTAGGCCACCCGGGATGTATGGCCAGTGCCAGAGGCGAATGCATTGCGACATCTCAAGTCGTTTCTTCTTCTCCTCTGTTTCATCTCTCTCCTCCTCTCTTCCCTCCGCATTGGAGTCTCAGTGTCAGTTTGTTGGTCGCTCTGTCTGATCACAGGTGCGACCGCGTAGATTGCGATTGAGTTCTTCACATCGCGATGCGATGTTTTGTTACGACTTGCAGTGTACGTGTCTCGCTGTGCTCGTTTGCCCGTGTTCTGCGAACAAGCAAGCTTCTGGACCCACATAAAATCTTTGTGTTGCGCACAATGGGTCGCAACAAACAACGTGTCGAATTCGTTAATCGAGTAATTGCTGTGAGTTGTGCAAGTAAAAGTACCATTGGGCGAGGGAAGCTTGTGCTATAAATTATAGTGTCTTAGCTGTCATAATGAAAGGCCCCCCTCCCACCTCTCATCTGCATCCTCCTCTTCCTCCCACTTCGGGTTCTGACTCCTCGATTCGCTGCTGCTCCTGGCTCATTGTTGCTAAGGCCTTACGGCCAGTGCAGCCGACACTGGATACCTCGGCCCTCGAGGGTGGCGGGATGCGTGATAAGACGTCGGAGGTAAATGAAGACGTGGCGGAGGCGGAGGAGGAGGAAAGGAAGGAGGAGGAGGAGGAGGAGCAGGATGAGGAGGAGGAGGAGGAGGAGGAGGAGGAGGAGGGGGAGGGGGGAGGAGGGGGACGAGGAGGAGGAGGAGGAGGAGGAGGAGGAGGAGGAGGAGGAGGAGGAGGAGGAGGAGGAGGAGGAGGAGTGGAGTGGAGCAATCGGACGTAGTCCGTTCGAAACCCAGAGACGCCAGGGGGGCCATCCAATATTTCTCGGAGGGCCGTGGGGGGCGACATCCCACGGCACACCGCGACAGGCCCCCCTGGCCTCACAATTTACTCGGAGGCAGCACCCGCCGCGTAGGAACCGATCGCGGCTTCGGCTGCCGAAACGTGCATGGCCTCTAGAACAGACTTGCTGGGACCCGATCTGGACGGGTGAAGGCCTCGCCTGATCCTGCTGAGGTTTTCGAGGCCTTTTGCCAGTGGGTCCCAGTGCCCTGCGCTCTCCCACTTGGTGGGAGAGAGGGCAAGGAAACATAAGGCTTTTAACATGGTGCGTGGCCGTGTTGCCGCACTTCACACAGAAGAACATTTGCCACTTGGGGATGGTGGCCAACGTGTGGGAGGGGTGTATAGCCTTGCCACTGATCACACGGGGACCCCGCGACCACAGCACCTCGCCACACGCAGCAAACTCGGGAAGGGGGCAAGGCGGTACACACTCCGTGGCGGCAGCTGGAATAACGTGGCAAGAATCGACGATGATGAGGCAGGCAGAGCATCGCCATTTATCTGCACACCGCTCGAATTTGTGCTGAGAAGCCGCGATCGCGGTCTGCAACATAGAACGAGGGGCTGCCTCCTGGGTGGGTTGCCTCTCTGGCCGCAGTCCTCGAGGCTCTGAGTTCTTGCCTAAGGAACGAAGGATCAGTCGTGCCCTCTGTCGGACAATGGCTGCGATAGCATCGTATTCGTCGGTCCTGGGGACAGGCGGGAGAGCAAGGGTGGCCGACTTGTGGGCCGCGCTCCCCGCGAGCTCGTCGGCTTGCTGGTTGCCGAGAGCAAGAAATTGTTGGAAACCACGCAAAGTCTGGGGATCGGCATGAGATGGGGTCCAGAGCACCGTGACCGAGGAGACGCCGCCAGGTCGATCCTGCACGAGGTGCCTAATCCTCAGCCAGAGATCCCCATTCTTATTCTTACCTCCAAGGCCGCCAGGCCTGAGACATCTGCCATTCTGCCAACCCCGCTGCAAGGCTAGGTGATCTGTAACAAACGTGAAATCCTGCTGGCACGTCTCAAGTGCCAGGCAAAACGCATATAATTCGCCTCTTGGGACGGTCTGGCGGGGGCCTGGGAGGGGGGCAAGGAGGCCCGCGTGGAGGGTCCAGGAGGCTGAGGGAGGGTCCCAACGGAGGGCCGCGAGGCCAGAACCAACGCGACGTCGCCTGACGTCGTCGGAAAAGGCTCCGCCAGACCCGTCTCCAAAAAGAAACAACTCGCCCTTTGCGTTACGAGCTCCTTCCCAATACGGCAATCCCTCCCGCGCCGCCCCAACAAACTCCCACCCGTCCCTCCCAATCAATGGCTCGAACGTGGGCGTGGTGAGAGCGACAGGGGGAATGCCACGGAGCCACAGGGCGGGGTCGGCATCGACCCCCGCCACGGCACGCGGCAGTAGCTTGTCACTGGCCTCAAACTCAGGTCCCACATTCGCCTCGCACTGCCCCATTCGGTGAACCAAGGTTTCAGGAACTCCAGCGCTGCATCGGTCGCAGTTCATGTCGATCTGGTAGCCCGCGTTGTGGAGGCGGTCTCTGGTCCACTGTCCTCCGCTGATGATGGTGTCGTTGAGGGCCCAGTCGCTGAAGTCGCCGTTTGCGAGGAACCTCCTTGGTTCAATGCGGATAGTGACCATGTCTGCGCCTCCAGCCAGCGTGTCACCATGGGCATGCGTAGCGGCCTGGGTCCAGAGGAGCTTGTGTAAATCCTCGCTGAGGTCCTGCAAAACTGTGTGAATGTCGGCGTCGAGGAGGTCAGGGTCATCGGCAGGGGGGAGGTTCCACTCCTCAATGTAGCCGTCCTTTGAACGCCTCCACGTGGTAGCCGAGGTCGGTTCCCAATTGGCCTCCAGCAGGGTCGCGATGGCCGCGCCTGTGGGTCCCTTGACCTTGCACCACAGCTTGGGGCCTGCAGCGAGCAAGGTGGTCTTGATCCTTGGCCAGGCCCTGATGATCCTGGCGTGCGTGTTCGGGTGGCGTATCCAGTGCTGAAGCCATGCCTCTATGAACTCGATCCTTAGGG